ACGGTGAATCAGTTGGAGTGGATTCTCAGTTAGTGAAACAGTATCTGGATGTTTTAACAAAGAACAAGCAGCACAGGATCTACAATTAATTTGACGAATGATTGAAGGATTTTTAATGACTTTTAGTCATGAAATGCTTCGGCACAGATTCCATTCTTCAGTAATATTCTTCATGCAGTAGTATAACATGGATGGCAGTATGCTTATGCAAATGATCTCATATGAGCTTATGCATATAATGAAATAAGGTGTTGTAAGTCTATCCATATGTGGTTATTTTGTTGCTATGCATGTGTGTTCAGCAGGCTAGTATTTTTGCACAGGTTCTGGTGCATGTAAGGTTTATAGATTTTGTGATATTTGCCTTTTGTCCAAATGCACACTTTTAGAATGAAGTGTTATACATGAAGCTGTGGTCAGGTCAGGTTTGAGATAAATTCTGCGGGTCCCCTTGATAATGAAGAAATTAATTTCAAAATGAAATGTTTATTGATGCTTATGTTGTGTGTAAATTCTTTCTTGATGATTAATTTCTCTTTAAAGTGTAAACACTGTCTCTGTAAGTCAAAAGATTGCTCCGTTTGATAACAGTCATTTTTTTCCTATTCATTTCAGTTCAATTCAATTCAGTTTGTTTATTAGGAGTAACCCCTTGAGATGTACCATCTCGTTTTCAAGGGGCTCCCAACATACAGTGTAAGATAATCACAACGAAATATCAACATACAACAACATAAATGCAAACATCAATACATAAACAAACAAACGCATTAATACACAACACACATTAGCAAAAGTACAGCACCAATTTGACAAAATGGCCAATAAATACCCAACTAAACACAATTATCAGTGAATAGAACTGTATATAAACATCAAATAGAAACAAATAAAATGGAATGATGTAATGGATCTAATATTTACAAGTAAATTAGTATGGAGTTTTAAACTTTTTGCCAATTGTTTTTTTTTGTTTTTTTTCAGTTGGGGGGGAGGGGGGGGATGCCTAACTACTTTACAGAGAAAGGTACTAAATATTGTTTTAGGTAACTGGAGTAACTAAAATGAATGCATTTAAATATAAACTGAAGCCAATGACTATGTCTTCTTATTCGCAAAGAAGGCAATTATAATGCATCATACATTATAAAGTGATGAGTTAAAAAGAACATCCCAAAAAAATCTATAAAGTCTATTATAAACCGTATTAAGTGGAGCAAGATCATATTTTGAAGCAGTTTGATAAACAACATCAAAATAATTTAAGCCAGAAATGTTGTTGTGAAGCCAGTTTCTTACCAACACTTTATGAAAAACAATTTTGAGATCAATGTAAAGTACTAATAAGTTAACTTTACGCAAAACATGATTAATATGTGGTTTAAAGGAAAGTTCAGAATCAAGTCATACACCAATATATTTAATAGTGTCAACTTTATGCAAAGGACCATCTTTACATGATACAGCACACAAACCAGCTTTGGATTTAAGTTTCTGTTGTAAACCAAAACTCATACTATAGGACTAGTTTATTATCCAAAAGCCAATCTTGCAAAATATTAAAATCACTGAAGAGATAAGTGAATTTGTAAAAAAAAAAAGATTTAGATACATATATGTGTCCCTGCAGCACAAAAGCAGTCTTAAGTCGCTGGGGTATATTTGTAGCAATAGCCAACAATACATTGTATGGGTCAAAATGATAGATTTTTCTTTTATGCCAAAAATCATTAGGATATTATGTAAAGATCATGTTCCATGAAGATATTTTGTAAATTTCCTACTGTAAATATATCAAAACTTAATTTTTGATTTGTAATATGCATTGCTAAGAACTTAATTTGGACAACTTTAAAGATGATTTTCTCAATATTTAGATTTTTTTTGCACCCTCAGATTCCAGATTTTCAGATAGTTGTATCTCGACCAAATATTGTCCTATCCTAACAAACCATACATCAGCTTATTTATTCAGTGTTCAGATGATGTATAAATCTCAGTTTTGAAAAATTCACATATGTCAGTGTCATCAGTTGGACATGACTATTTTTATTTACATAAATAGAAAAAAAAGTAGTCCCAATATTGATCCTTGGGGCACACCTCTTTGTTGGATCAAAAAACAAAACAAAAACATATTTGTTCCCATTTAAGACAATACGTTGTTTTCAATTATGCAAGTATGAATTTAAATGTTTCTTTCACAGGAACTCAAGACATCCATACAGTCAGTAAAATATCTGTACAAAAACAGCAAACGATCACAATCCCGTGTTTATATGATCAAAAATATGTCAATTACCCAAAATACATGAGTTCTGGAGGTGTTTGGATCTTCAGTCATTACGTATCACACAGCAGAATGTCTGTTGAGGATAATAAAGCAGAAAATGTGTTTACGGTGACACTGAGAGAAGCAGAAGTGAGGGACTCCGGCACGTACTGGTGTGCTGTTACCTTACCTGGATACGATGCTGGCACACATCTTTACCTGCAGGTTACAGAAGGTATCACTGATTCTGTGCAGATTTATAAACCCATCCAGCTGCTATACCTTCTTATATTGCAGAATGTGTAAATGACTTTGTCTCTGACCTTTTCTCTCAAATGTCTAGCTGAAGCAGGGCTCCGTGTCTCCAGTCAGACTGTGTCAGGTTATGAGGGTGGTAACGTCACCATCCGCTGTCATGGCGCTTCACACTGGTGTACGATCAGGGGATCTTGTGTTGGGAGCGATGGAGGATCTCTAGAGAGAACTGCAGTGTTGTGTGATGATGGTGATGCTCTGAGAGTGACGCTGTGGCAGCTGCAGACAGAGGACAGTGGATGGTACTACTGCTCTAATGAGGATTCACAGATGCCTGTTCATGTTACTGTGATGGAGGCCCTAGATATTACACCGTTTACAACTAACCCCTCTGAGAGCACACCACCACTCCGTGCAGACAGGTAAGCGATTGTGCTCATTTAATCAAAGCACTCGTTAGCAGCAGATCGTTCATTGGCTCTTATTGTGAGACTTGTTTCCAGGCGGTTGCTGTGGCTGCTCATTCTGGGAGTGATGCTGCCCATTATTACAGTCTGCGGAGCTGTGATGCTGGTCAAAGCAAGGAACAAGAGAAGTGAGTGATTTCATGATTTCATTAGTAAGACAAAGCAATGAAACATTTGTACAGAATTACATGAGAGTGTGTGTGTGTGTGTCCGCAGAACAAAGAGCTGAAAGCTCAAATCTTCATAATCACATGAACAAACAGCAACTGCTCAAAGTAGGTGAAACACAGCTCTCACATTCACCATACTGTCAGCTTTTGAGCACAATCCATCACTACTACGTATTAGTATTAATATTATTTTCATAGGAAACTGGGAAAAACAGTGAGGTTACGTGTGGAAATCTCTATGAATTCATGACTGGAAATAAACCAGACACTCAGGTACTTTTTATCACATCTTCATAAACTTGCACTATAAACAGCTGTTGTTTTTATTAATTTATATACTCATTTCTTTATAGGGAAATGGAAAAAACAATGAGGTTGCATGTGAAGATCTCTATGAAATCATGACTGGAAATAAACAAAACACTCAGGTCATTTTTACCACATTCCCAGCTTTCACACACTTGCACTATAAACTGTTGTCATTATTATTACATTTATTCATATACTCATTTTATTTCTTCAGGGAAATGGGAAATACGACGAGGTTGCATGTGAAGATCTCTATGAAATTATGAACGGAATTAAGCAAAAAACTCAGGTACTTTTAGTTATTCATTTTTATAGGGATTTTATATCTCTCTTACAATGCATTAACATGGGTTCATGTCAGTCTAATTGTATTTTTGTCTTGTTTTGTCTGTGTTCTTGTGTTAGTTGACTGCAGCAGATAATAAAAACATATATGCATCTATGGTCAGAAAAGTGAAATGATCAGATAGACAGGCTTAGGGTTTTCATAATGTTTGTTTGTCCTTTATGTTAATGAGAGTGGTCCAGTTTTTTTTTTTTATCAAATGTGTGTAACTCAAGTAAACGAATAGCATTAGTTTTATTCAGTCTGTCAACTCTTTGATTGAAGAAATTAGATTTTTTTAACCCTTATATTATGTACTGGGTCAATGTGACCTGAATGGATTATTTTTCTTTCTCTGAGTTGTGGGGAATGCTGGTTATCCTCAGATGAGGTGTGTGAGGTGTGTGGAACTCTGAGGTGAAAGTTTCTTCATGGAACCATCGATGCATAAAAAGCTTTGTTTTTTAAAAGTGTGGTGTTGCTAGAGCCATGCTGTTTAGTTGAGCTTCGGGAAAGCACATTAAAAACTGTAAGAAATCAAAAAAGAAAAAAAAAAGAAACATAATAAAAAATACTGTTTATAATAGTTACATTTTGTGAAAACAAAAGTTGTTAAATACAATTTAAAAAATTACTTTTTTTGTAATATTTAAGTATATGAGTATATATGGTATATGTATATGACATACTAAAATACAAAACAGATAGCATGCATACAGACATGAGCAAATAGTGACAGAAGTTATATTTTTAGCTGAAGCGTTTCTTTGACATGTAACCCAGTCTTTCTGTCTGGCCTGTTCATTTCTCCGTCTCCGTCTGTGCTCCAGCTCAAGTGCCAGAGATCTGAGGGTCTGTTTTCATGAAGTGGAAAACTGTGGGTGGAAACATAGTGCTTATTTCTTGTTTTTCATGATTACTGGAAAGTCTTTGTAGAGAAGAAGCCATCGGTCGGTTTGTCTCTGTCAGTGTTAATGCTGTTGTTTCAGAGGGAATCTGTCACATTGGTTTCACCTGACTTGAAAAACTGTTATAAATAAATGAGCAGTTTTGTCACACCATCCACAAATACTCTTGCAAAATCGTGGTAGTGTGTGCTGGAGGGTGAGTCAGGCTGGAGCGGCAGAAAAACAGGAACTAGAGATGAGAAAAGAACAGATTTCACATGCGTTCCCATCGAACATCTTCACAATGACCCAGCCATGGATCTGAACCGTCTTCTCTTCATCTGCAGCTTCATCAGACTCTCAGGTGAGACCAACTACACAAGCATCCGTACCGTTTACTTACAGATACACATGCTTTATTGTCCTGTGAAATATGAATCGTTTCTTATATGAATAACCTTAAGATTTTCGTGTTTATGCAAAGATGCAAGACTTCTCAATTTATAAAGTCAACAATATTATGATATTGGAATAACGAGTAAACAGAAGGGTCCAAAAGTCTGAGACTATATTGAAAATCTGGGATTTAAAAAAAAATATTTTTTTTAATTATTATTTTTTATTTTATTAAAGATAAAAAATGTGACTTTTTGGATCAAATTGTTATTTTAATATATGTGTATATTCATATTTTGGAAATTTGTTCATATTTATTTTTATTTTTTTTGATAAATATATGTGTGCAAGTTAAAAAATATATAAAATGGCACAAAAAGCCACATATTTTTGGATTAATTCATGTATTCATTATTTTAATATACAATATTTCTTTTGTGAAGGTGCTCAGGACATTACTACGGTCAGGCAGATATCTGTTCGGAGAGGACAGTCTGTCATAATTCCTTGTTTATATAATCAGAAATATGCATTTTCATGCAAATACTTGAGCGCTGGATACTATTGGCTATTGAGTGATTATGTGGAGTTCCCTGACCAGAGATTTCATCACAAAACTGTATTTATCTCAGATGACGCGTCACGTCACAGCTTCACCGTCCGCATGGATAACGTCCAGGAGTCTGGCTATTACTGGTGTGCTATTCATATTCCTTCAGCTTTTGATGAACGGGCGAGGTTTTTCTTAAACGTCACAGCAGGTGAGACCATCTTACAGTTATCTGAACCTCTCTGACCCCAAGCTGAATTTGTACAAACTCACAAAAACGAGTATAAATCACAGAAACTTTCTTATTGTTGTTAAAGGAATAGTTCAGCCAAAAATGAGCATGTGCTCACCTTCAGGCCATCCGAGATCAGGATGAGTTTGTTTCTTCATCAGGTTTGGAGAAATGTAGCATTGCATCAGTGTCTCAGCAATGGATACTCTGCAGTGAATGGGTGCCGTCAGAATGAGAGTCCAAACAGCTGATAAAAACATCACAATAATCCACAAGTAATCCACAGCACTCCAGTCCATCAGTTAACATCTGGAGAAGACAAAAGCGGAAACAAATCCAGCATTAAGACGTTTTTAACTAAAATATGAGTTCGTAATCCATAATAAGGCTTCCTCCAGTGAAAAAGTGTTCTGGTCTGAATCAGGAGAGAAATCTGCACAGATCAAGCAGTGTTTAAACAGCTCTAAACACATATGTGGCTGGATTTTGA